CTCATCGTAACTGAGAGGTTGTCAATCTTGAGACCATTTTGATAAGTATTTATCGGGATTTTAGAAAGTATGATAAGGTATCAAGATAAGGAGAGTTAATCGTTTTTGAACAAAGGCGCTCTAGGCACTCCTCCCCTAAGCCGAAGCCGCAGAGACCCCCCCTGATGAGTAAAATATAAAATGATTCAATAGGTTACTCCCTGAAATTTCAATAAATAAAATGTAACATGCCTCCCTCACCCGGTGTTTACCCTGTTCACTATGTAACATAATAAGCTTTAAATATATTATATTGATTCTGGCTTTAAAAATTACACCTCTAATATTTGCATAAATTATTATTATATATATATATATATAAGAATAATAACAGTTTTCTCTATATATATTATAAATATTATATTTATAAGTATTATAACTTATTAAAGTAAAAATAACAAATAACTTTAATTAGTTGAACCTTTGTTTTCCTCGTTAGCTAATTAAACATTCTTTCCTTTATAATAATAATAGTAATACAAAACTACACCATATAAAATTATTATTGTCAATTGTTAGCTGAAATGGGAAAATTTAAATTTTGTTTATAATATAAATTTTATATATATATCATCGATCGCATAAAATAATATCAAAAATTTTATTTTAAGATGGAGATGAACTTTCGAAATAAAATATCAGTGAAAATCTTTATAAAAATAACCTTATCGAAGAGGTCTCTCCAGGCCTACACTCCCTCCTCCATTCCCCACTTAAGTCAATGCCGAAATTACTCTCTAAAAAAATCCCACCCATAGTAGAATAGATTAGGTGTTATTATGTAAGAGATTATGTCAAATTTCGAGGTTTTATGGATGACATTTTGTTATTATAATAGTTAACTTACAAATTGTCTTTAACTTTATTCTTCATCATGCATTTTGATTCCGAAAAAAAGGAAACTATTAATATTATTTCAGAAGCCTGGTGTGCTGATTTTAAATTTATGAATTTTGTCCAAAGTTGCTTAAATATTGTATTTGTATTTTATCTAGATACATTTTAAATAAATATCTATTATATAGAGATAGACACATTCTTAGGCGTAGTTGTATCGATCATTTGGTAGCTACAATTTTATTTTACGTTTTTTAAAAAAAATATTACATTAATTCTTACGTACTCTGGTGGTGTCGATAGGACCACAGTTGAGTTATACTTGTGATGGACTTGTGTCTGTCAAATCCCATTAGGGTACTCCATAAGTTTTAAACTTATATTAAATATCGGTTAGTAGTTTATTATAATTAACTGAAAAATTATGTTTAATTCTAAACATTTTTACGGATCCGTCTGCTTCATTCTAAAAATTTGTTTAACAATAAATTGACATTATTATGCACACATATATTTTACATGATATTTTTAACTAAAATGTATCTTTTTTAAAATAAATTATATCGATGTTCTCGTACTATTTATTGAAGCGCGTATCTAAATTCTAGATTATCTTTTAACAATGCCAAACTAATTTAGATGTAAATAACCTTATATTTCATACAATTCAAATTCAGAATTTTATACGTTTACTATATTTTGTTTATAATTTTCATCATATCCCTAACTTAACAAACGATAAATTAATCTACATTCCATCTTTATTTTATATATATATTTGTTTCTAACTATGAAGGATGAAGCAACACTGTAATTTATTGAAACCATATTTTATTTCGAGAAATTTTTAGTTTTTAACTTTAAACCTTTTTATTTCACGTAAATTACATTTTTTAAAACATCAAAAACATTTTTTTTTAATATTTAAAAAACATTTTAAAAAATAAAATTCTAACCCTTATCTCCCTAACTACTAAATAACCATTATTTTAACCTTTTCAAAAGGGGTCGTTTTCATCCTTTCATTTTTTAGAACTCATTATCTCCAAAACATGCTGTTGTCTAAATGGAGCCTAGCTATCTAATTTTCGCATTAAAATTGAAAGATGAATATTTCAATGATAATTATGAAAAATGAATGGATATTATCATTATATTTAGTTTTGTAAGTTGATAGATTTGTAATCCATATTTTTTTTAAAAAAATGTGTAGATATATTTCGTGTACTAGTCCAGATTTGAAAATTGGATTAATCGGACTAACCTCAGCCCTGTCCTACTCAGTCCAGCTCATACACACAGAAATAATGTTTTCAACCACTTTTAATATCGAAATCTTCTTTTTTTAAATGTGTCTTCTTCGCCTCTTGAAGGCATTCAACTTTTTCAAAGTGAATGAGATGAGTGGTCGGTCACGAATGGTTGGAAGTCTTGCCGAGCGAAAACTTGAAAATCAATGAACAGCCAGGAGTGACCTTAGGTTATGGACTCGGCTGCCACCTCGTTCATCGTATTTGCATGAACTGCAGGGGGGGCATGGATCATATTACATCAAAAACCAAGATTGGCAGCAGTGCCACTTGTCAATCAACAAATTAGCCTTCTTTCAAAAAAAATCTAGTAACCCCAACGTTTTAGAACCCTGCAAATCTATCAATGGACTAGTATTTGGATCTAACTGTTTGGACACTATTCCTTTTGGGCCATGGGTAAATTCCTAATTTGGAACTTCACTTTTGTCTCAGCCTTCCCAATGAATATTAAACGCAAAACTTTATTTTTTTTCCCCAATTGCAACCTCCACTAATTATCGTTATTCACCTATCACTTTCTATTAAGTCCATAAAAACCGTAGGCAATTTTTATTCCTAAAGCAGAATATATATGATTATAAATATTTAAATAAAACCGATAATTATTGTTCCTTTTTAGGAACATATATTATGTTTTTCTTAAATTTTTTTGTTTTTAAATTGGAACCTTTACATTTAAAAATAAATTGTTATTTAGAAAAAAATACACAATCTTTATCCACACCTAATCCATTTTTACGACTAAACTGTACAAAAGATAGGTTATTTATTTATCTTGTTTTGTTTAGAGGAAGTTAAAAAAAATGCGAATCTTTTTAGAATTTTTCTTTAAGCAATTTTTTTGGTTAAGGAGCATACGCTTTCTATATATTTGCCTCGGCCTGCTAAACGTGTTATCGCTCCCATCTTACATAAATTTTTTCCTTGTCAAAATAATATGCCAGTTCTAGTTCGGTTGGAGCGGACCGGACACTATTTTTTCCCAGTCCTTCACCTTTTATTTTGCACTGCGCATTACAATTTTCAAATCTTTATATTATTATTTTTTGACCAATCACAAATGGCAGTGTTAACCAAATTTAGTGCCTTAAAGTAACGCCGTTTGGATGTAAAAATTGTAACGGCAATGTGTTAAGGTAACAATGTAATCGTTACTTTTTAACAAACGCCAATTACGATTTCTTTATATTTAAATAATATGATTTATTCGCCATTGTTTGTCAAAACGAGTCAATTTATCATTTCGCGAATATTTTTTTAAAAATGATATATTTATGAATTTTAATAACCAAATGTTTTATTTGATCAATTTATAATCATTTTCATAATATTATTTAATTAATGCAAATTTTTTAAAAGCTTTTATTTTTAATCCCTTTTATTCATTTTCGTCCGAAATAAACAATAAACATTGGTTTTTTTCTGTGAAGGTTTATGTTGTACATTACGATTTATTTATTAAATAATCATAAAATCAACTCACTAATTTATATTTCTATTAGATTTGTAGTGTTGTTAAAAACGGCTCGTTTTAAGCCGATTTTTAAAAACAGCTGACTCGATATTTTAGTCAGAAAAAAATATTGATTAAGCCTCGATATTTCGATAATATAATGTCTAGACCTTTCTTCCACCTATGAGCAAAATCTTCAGGCTTGCGTAATATTTTTGTGGACGAAATATTGAGTTAGCCGTTTTTAAAAATCAGCTCAAAACAGCCGTTTAACAACACTATTAGATTGTCAAGCTCATTTAACAGTCCGGTGTCTTTTTTTTGAAATAATAATTATCGGTTGGAATTATTTAAAATTATACATTGTACATTTTAAATTTACTTTTTTTTTCTCTCTCAGGCCTTTTATGTAATCTAATACCCATGGTTTTAAATGGTATTTGCATAAAATATTATAAAGCTTATTACTATTATTATATTACTAGATATCATAATAACTACTCACTATGTGGAAACCTTTTTATTTTACATTTTTTTTTAGTGGAGTCATTTTTGAAAATGTAATCGTAATTACAAAAACACATAATTTTAATTTGTATATTTTTTGTCTACATATAACCGATATTATTTATGGTTTTTTTTTCGAAGTAATAAAAAATTATAAATTAATTACTCTTATATTATTTATTATAGTGCTTACAAATCGCAGCGTTTCGCGTTTTATTTAAAATGGTGACGCGCAAATAGGTTTTTTTTTGCCTTCCTTTTTTTACAAATAATATCCCCGATTTTTTATATCAACTTCCGGATCCGGGTGGCCATTTTTTTCCCTAACGACAAAATATTGGCTGGGATGAGTTACATATTTTTAAAAAAAATAAACTGGTTTGATTGTTTATTAACAAAGTTGGCCATTTGTCAATAAAGATTTGATGTAATTACAATGACATATGATAATAGATTGACGATACATTCATAATAATAATGCATTTGAAAGCGTCATTGAATGCAAATCAGGTGGACCCGTTATTTTGGTAACGGAATATAGTAATTATCCCCATGTTAAAAACTACTATTAAATATTTGCTTCCTTATATCAGGCAAGCAATTCTTTAATAAAGTTTGCGTCAGACATAGGAATAAATCTCGTTTAAAATTTTTAAATAATGATACGGGTAATCAAAATGGCGTCCCCAGCTGTTTTCATTCTTTAATGAACGTATTGTCAGTCTAGGTATTATTATGTGTCATTGGGTAATAATGGTATCTGAATTTATCTATATTATTGTTTACTATTATAGAATTAAACAAACACTTAGATATAAAATATAAATTTTATTATATTTTTTTTTAGATTTAGATAATTAGATAATTAGATGCGGCAAAATATATTATCTAATAAATTGGTAAAAAAAAAGTGTTAATAAATGATTGTTAAAAATAAAGTGGAACAACCTTTTCCCCTCATCACGTGATTTTTCTCTAACCGCCTTCGTAAACTTTTGATCGCATATTCTCCTCGTTAATTTGTTATGTTGAAATTGCGGCACTTTTAACATGGGCACTCATATATTGAATAGGGATATAAATCCAATCTACGACAATGGTTGTATGAACTCCCACGAATCAGATAACAACCAGCATGAGGCGATTCAATCCCATCTTGATTCTTTCATTACGCAGGAGTTTAAAATGGATCTTAATCTTCTCGAATCCCCGCTTATAAGTCGCGTGGATACATTTTACGCCGCCACTAACAATACTTTGGATAATCCCGATGGAAGAAACAGTAACGATAAAATTAACCATCCCCCGAATTCCGTGGATTCTGACTTTAAACCCGTCAATCATTTGATTAGCAAAAATGGTAATAAACATATTCCCGCCAACCAAAACAAACCTCAAATCCAAATTCATCACTTGGCTTTGCTTCTATCGGTTAACAAAGCCCGCAAGGTCAGATTTTATCGGGACGGAGATAGGTTTCATTGCGGCGTCGTTTACGCCATTTCCAAAGACAGGTATCGCGATCTCGGAGCCCTCATTAACGACCTGAATCGTTCGCTGGCCGACAGAGTCAATTTACCTTACGGGGTTCGTTACATATTCGTTTTGCCGAAACACTGCAAAGTATCAGATATCGATAACGATAATATCATCGCCAATATAAGTAATGGTGATGGCAACATCTTGAAGGTACGGGAAAATAGGGATATCGTAAACAAAGATGACGCTACGGAGAGAAGCATCTCACCTTTACTATCCGCCAACGCGAAGGATGATAAGATTCGCCGGAAAAGCGGCATAATAAATGATCATTACGAAAGAAATTGCCCGTCCCTGCTCACGAACCTAAAAGATAGAGATCGTAAGACGAAAAATGTCGCCCAAAAACAACCCATGACCGATCTACTGCCTGTCCAAGAGCCGAAGGGTATTAAAAGCGACTTGGTTATCAAGCCGCCTTTCAAATTTTGGAAGGTTCTCGAGATATCCGATCTGACGGACGGAGACGATTGCGTTTGTTCCTCTTTCGATCGCTTCGAACCGCTTGATTACACCAAAAATAGCGCTCCCCGCCACTGGAACTTCGCGAAGCACGATTCCCCCTACCAATTCTCCTCTCACTCCGCCGTCGCCTCTAATTTTAACCTAACCTCTTCTGACCTCGTTATAAACCTATCAAAACAGTTCAAGAATACCGGGACCGTCGCGACCGATAAATTATCGATTCTCTCTACTGGCAAGAAAGAGAATGGGGAGGAGATTGGAGGTGAGGATTTATATAAAAACGAAAGTTCTGATCGGATTTTACCGAAAAATAACGCTGCCATTCTTAAACTTTCGTCTTCTAGTTCTTCCATCGCCTCTTCCTTCCAATCTTTGGGTTCCTCATGCCAAACTCCTCCTATCGTCACATCCGTAACATCCAAGCGCTCCTCTTTAATCCGAAATCTATCGCGTTGTAACGATCGTTTAGTAGATGCGAAACCAGTTATAGAATCGGGGACTAATAAATTGAACGAGTTATCCTCGAAATTGATAAGCGGCACTTACGCGTCTAACGGTAATATCGCCAATCAAGCGATGGAAGATACTCTTCACATTTCTTACCACCCTCCTACCTTTATTGGTAAAAGTGACAGTCTTTCCAGTATTCCGGTAGACGTCAAACGCTCGAACATGCGCGATAAAACGCCTCCCAACCACAACTTTCTAAATGGAAATTGTTCAAATGACGACCATCTAAAAATCGAACACCCCACCAACTACGTCACCCTAAATGGTCTCAAAAACGATAGAAGAATCTCCCAGAACCATCAATCTCGCTCTCCCTTCCTTCACAGACGTCTCAACGACATAAACCCGTCGGCGAGTGTCGGCAAAAAACCTCCGAGCTCACCCTCGCGTTCCCCTTTGCTCACACCGTCCGATTGTAAGTTGCCAAACATGGCTGGCTGCAAAATCGCTTACAGACCAACGTTAATCGGTGGTCAAAATTTTGGCTATAAACCCAAGCTTGTAACTATTATCAGGAATGGGAGGGTCACGCCCCGGAAACGCTTTAAATTTTTGCTTAACCATAAAACAGCCCGTTCTATCGAGCAAGTGATGGACGACATCAACTCTATAGTACGTTTGGACACTGGACCCCTAAGGAAACTATACGCCTTTAGTAACGGAAACGAAGTAACATATAAATAAATATTGATAATGACATCAATCTATATAAATATGTTATTTTTTAAACAATTTTTTTTTGCAAGTCAAATAATTTTATTTTTTAAATAAATTTTTAAAAAAAATATGAAAAATGGTTTTTCATCAAATTTGGTCAACACTATAAGTATCGAAAATTGAAAATATTACAAGTAGCAGGGGAAAAAAATATGTCAATGAAAAAATGATCCGATCATATGATATGATTTCCCAATCGGGTTTTTAAAAAATTGATATTATTTATTTTGTAATAATCTCACAGCGATTTTTGGCCCTGTTAGGTGTTCTTTTCTTGCATTTTTTAAAAAAGCCCTATCTTGCCCCATTTTTTATAAAATTTTACCCGTTATACCCCGGGTCACTTATTTAATCTAGCATCTATACTAATCCATTGTCTATAATAAAATAAACCCATCCAAAATAAGCGGAGATATCATTAAAACTGATAACGGAATCTTTTACCCCATATAACCAAGACTTATATTCTAAAGCGATTCACTATTATAAACAAAAAAATCTTAAAATATGCCATCTCGCGGAAAATAATTTGTATAAAAAAGTTGATAATAAATTATAAGAATCAGAAGAAGAAAAAAAAATTAATTTTATTATAACTTTGGGTTTAGTTTATCGTATTTAAGATATATATTATATAATATATTTTTTAAAATATCAAATTACCACGTGATCTTTAGCTAATGGCATCTTTGCCGATTCGGTACCCACTCCGCTAGTGTCGTTAGACGACTCTATTTAGTCAATTTTAAATTAAGATTTAATGCAAAATAATATCACGCATAGTTATGTGTTAAAAAGCCCGATCTGGGTCAATTTTTTCAAAACGGCTTCGATTTAGATTTTAGCTAGAATAATATTATGTTAAGCATCGAAATTTGGCAAATAGATCTCCAAGTATTTCTGTATTTCTGCCAGCTATAAGCAAAGATCTTTAGGCATTGCATAATGTTATTTCGGTTATAATCTTAAATCTGTCCGTTTTCTAACGACCCGAATCGGACCTTTTAGCAGGACTCTAGATTTCGTTAATAGATGGTCCTAACCTTTCTGTTATCTATTGAGCGAAATCTTCCAGGGTTTGCGTTAATATTTTTCGGTTAAAATATTACGGTTATTAGCCTATTTAAAAAATTGAGCCCCCTTTTAACAACACTTAACTCTTCGCACAATTTATTTAAATCGCTTTCTAACATAGATTAATTGCTTGTTTGATTCAATTATCTCTCATGTTTAAAACAAACACCTTCTTATTAATTATAAAATAATAATTTATTAATCTTTATGGGTATTAATTCATCCCCTTTTTCCATTTTTATAAAAAGATAACAAAAAATAAATTAAATAGATATTTAATGTGATAAAGATATAACAAAAATTAAAATTGAATAAATATTTAATGTGATTTACCAAAATCGATTTTTTGATTATTATCCCAGGCCCTATTTCGAGCTTTGTCAAATATATATTTTTAAAATGTTTTTTTTTTATTTAAAAAGAAGATTATGGTCTCATTTACTTGATATAGATTTCACGCGAATTTTATTTTTTGTGCAATTTGATATTCTTATAATTTCTTTTCTTATATAAAAAAAAATTAAAAGGCAAACACAATTATAACTAGAAAACGCTTTTGAAATCGATTGTTAAATGTAGTGTGTTGTTAAACGGCTCGTTTTGAGCCGATTTTTCAAAAGGGCTAACTCGATATTTTATCGGAATAAAAATATTGTCTATAAATTATTTAACGTTTAGTCCAGCGTTTAGCCTAAAAAATTTGAATTAAGCCTCTAAAGTTGGGTCTCGACTTGAAGATTTATTCGAATATTTTTTGATAAATACATAAGCTGCGCTGTTTCATAGTTGACTAAAGTGTTGGGTGATTTAACAACACTAGTCTAAGGCCTCGAGATTTCTTTGATAGATGTTCAAACTTTTGTGGTCTGGCCACCTATGAGCAAAATCCTAAGGTTGATTACATATTCTGAGTCCTAAGGGTGACCAGGAGGCCCTCTACCACCGGGCTAGGGTTTTTCTTTAGAGTCAGCTAGTGTTGTTAAACGGCTCGACGCGAGCCTATTTTTAAAAACTGCTAACTCAATATTTTGGCCAAAAAATTGCCTAAGCCTCGTGATTTCACTAACAGGATGTCCAAATCCTTGTGCCATCTCTGAGCAAGGTTTTCGGGTTTTGCGTAATATTTTTCTGGATAAAATAACGAATTACCAGTTTTAAAAATCTATCATACATACCATAGTCAGTATCTATTTCCCCATAATATAAAAAAACATTTCAAATTTTATAGGTCACCAGGGAAAGGGGGCTTCGCCTTAACTTAGGGGGTCTGAAGGGATTTATACAGGGGTCATGTGACATGGAATTTACCCATTTGTGATAAAGAAAAATGAAGGGTTTCGAAGTTATAGGGTTAAAATAATATGTTACGAAAGCCTAATCATCCTATTACTTTTACATATGCATTTGAAAAAACCTTCGATTTCATATTCTATGAATTCAATCCACTCCCATGATAATCCTCACTCTCTGGGATCCTATGAGACTACAATTTATAAAGCGATCAACTTTGAACCATTTTATGAGAGCGGCAATGCATTTTTCCGGCCAATGTCTTATTTATTTTAAAAAAAAAATTTGAATCAATTTTTTGAGTGCCTTTTTTTTTTTAAATTTAAGAATTTGATTTTAACTAACAATGTATTCCGTCATGTTTGGAATACCTACCCCATGAATCCGAGACAATTTTTCCGTGAACTTTTCAGCTTAATTTGATTTTATATTCGTTTTTTCTACACTTTCTAGGGATAATTCGATAGGTTTTTCTAAACATGCTGAAACATATTTCCTTAAAATCAGATGTAATACTTAAAAGATATAAAAAAAACGCGCTCAAAAAAATGATTTAAATCTGAAAAAAAATAACGCTTGCCGGAAAAAATGTTCCTATAGTAATTGATCGCAAGATATACTAGTGTTACCAAGGTTAGTCTTTCAGTCTACGTGCCTAACCCCGCTCCCCACTAGTTGGTCTCCGTTTTGTCCCACCGAATTTTAAACGGAGGTTTGAACTGTTGCCACTTCCGGTTTGTCAACATTCTACGAGAGCAATACAACTGTATTTCCATTTTTTTTCTTCTTATTTCCTCCAATTCGAATTTTTATTTTATTTTTAAATGCTCTGCCATTATTTTTCTCATAATAATAAAATTTATATTTTTAAACCATTTTATTTAAAACGTTTTAAAAATATAATAATAAAATTAGAATAAAACCAGAGAAGAGTTCAACGATTTTGAAAAATATTCAAATTTTTATAATATATATATATTAAATAATGTTTTTAGTTTTGAATTTGATTTCCTTTTCCCCATAAGAGAATTAAATTTTCTATTTCCGTTCTCCTCGCATAAAAAAAAAGCAATCTTGATTTCTGCGTTTCTCATTTTTAAGAAGATTTTTGGGTATATAAAAGATTGAAAGTTTCTCGTAAAAATTATAAAATATGATTTTTAAAAAAAAATTAAAAACTATTTATTATAATGTTTATTAATGATGAAAAAAAAAATAAAATCTCCGAGGAATATATGTATATATAAAAAAATTCATTAATTTTACTTTGAATAATTTTTTTTAACTTATAAGGTTAGGGATAAGTGTTACCCGATTTTTTGAAAACGGCGAACTCAATATTTGATCCATAAAAATATTACGCAAGCCAGAAGATTTCCTCATAGAAAGAACAAAGGTCTAGGCATATATTATCGAAATCTCGAGGCATTGAACATTTCAACGCTGCGTTTCAAAACGCAAATAATGCATTTTAATTGCATTCGTTTAAATTGAGTACGTTTGCGTTTTGTATTTTAAAATATTGATTATGCGTTTTAAAACGCTGCGTTGAAACGTTCAATTTGTGCTCACTATTAGGCAATATTTTTCTGGGCTAAAATATTGAGTTAGCCGTTTTTAAAAATCGACTCAAAACGAGCTAGGACTACAAGGTAAATAAATAAGAGAGATATTTGTTCGTATTATTATATGTTAGCCATCAATGCGTTTTTTTTTCAGGCAATGTTGTTGCTTAGAATACCTTATCTTATGAATTACCGATAATTTTTACCTTTCACTTTTTTTTTGAGTCATTTTAATAATTTATCGTGAAAAAATCTATCGAAAAACTAATTAAAAAACTGTCTGAAATTCGTAGGGTGAGTACCGGGCCGGCCCGAATTTATTTAAATATAGAAATTAATTTTTACAATCACTCAAAATAGGAGGTGTATGTTGTATGGGCGTCTAGTTTCTATATATAAAATCTAATTTTTTTATTCGGGCCGGGCCTACTTTTGCAGAGCTCTAGTAGGTATTCCGAACATGATGAAATTTTTTAAATTTAAAAGTAACCCGCGCTCAAAACAAAAATGTGGCGACAATCTTGGAGAATCAATTTAATTAAAGAGAACCATAGAAAAGAAAATTTTATTTTTTTTTGATATGTTTTTAATTACCTTTGATATTTCTCTTCTTCTTTCACAATATCCAATAAAACAATAATAGGATGCTCTACATTTGTTTATAATCATTTCATTTCCTTAATTTAAAAAAAAAAAAAGGTTTATTATGACGAATTACCTACTATAAACTGACAAAAATAACACAAACATAAAAAACATGTTTTTTATTAATTTATAAAGAAGGGGGAGACCTTATTCAAAAACGAGTTTCGGATAATTTGAACCGAATAGTAAATTATTCGTTTTGTTTTCGAATACGAATAAACGGTTATTCAGAATAATTATTGCCGGAGATCCGCAGAGGTCAAAATTATAGACTCCTTTCCGGAATTAAAAAAAAATAATTTCTTTTCAAAACCGGTCCGAAATTTTTTTGACTCAACCCCAGATTTTTTTTTGTCCCTCCTTGGAATTGTTAAAATTTTGTTATCTCGAATAATAGTCGGCTATACTTTGCACATTTATTATTTTTTTTTAATAATGGAAAATAAAAATATGAGCAATAAATGAATGAATAGTAAAAACGCTCCCATTGTTTGATTTTTCCAGCTGATATTTTTTTTAGCCGGGCGTGATTGGTCGCGAACATAAATTTTCACGCGAATCATTGAAATTTTAAAATTCAAATTTAGTTCTTTTTTGAAAAAAATAAAATTCCCCATTTTTGGGTAAAATTTTATTTAAAAATCTATTATTCAAAAATTTTTGCTGATTTTTTAAAACTCCTTATATCCGATTATATTATATTACACCATAATAAAAGTAAGGTATTTCGAATAGCATAATTTATGAAGAAAAAATATACTTAAAGTGCAATTTTGGTTGTTTTTTGAAAATCGATTCAAAATAAATATTATACTTACTAGTGTTGTTAAACGGCTCGTTTTGAGCCGATTTTTTAAAACGGCTGACTCAATATTGTAGCCAGAATAATATTACCTAAGCCTCGAGATTTGATAATATATGTCTAGACCTTTGTTCCTTCTATGAGCAAAATCTTCAGGCTTGCGTAATAATTTTCTGGATGAAATATTGTCAATACTAATACTTACGATATTTCATATTATGATTAAATTTTGTTTACGAAGTTTTTATTTTTTACGCGCTACGCCTGTTCGTTGACTAAATATTAGACGTCTTTATAGCTAGCGGCTGTTAAAAAAAAACCAGAGTTAGAGTCCATGACCGATTAAAATTTTAGCCTATATAATATTTATTTAAAACTCTCGAGATTTGGCGAACAGAAGTTCATTTCGGCCATCTTACAAGCAAAAATCACCTCGCGTACATTTTATTTTTTTATGGCTAAAATCTTGATTCGGGCACGTTTCGAAAAAATCAAATCGGACTTTTGTTTTCTTCCTCTTTTTTCTAAAGAAATTCAAAATATTTATCATGAATAAATTTTTTTTTCTTCTTCTTCTTTACATTTAGAACAAATAGGAATAATTTTAATGACATATATATTACCTAGACTGACGATTCATTCATTAAAAGTGTACATCAATGCAAATCAGCTGGAGACGCCATCTTGGTTACACTAATCATTATTAAAAATTTAAACCCGAGCCTAATTTATTCCTATATCTGATGCATAAAGAATTACCGGATCATCGAGATAATAAGGAAGCAAGTTATCAATTTAATAGTAGTTTTTAACATGATAATAATTACTATATGTGTTACCAAAATGGGGGGCTCAGCTGATTTTCTTTTAGCGACGCTTAAAAATGCATTTTAATGAATGAATCGTCAGTCTAGGTATTATATATGTCATTGAATAATTTACACCTATAAAAATAGTGTTGTTAAACGGTTCGGTTCGAGCCGATTTTTTAAAAACAGCTGACTCAATATTTCATCCAGAATAATATTACAGAAGCCCGAAGATTTTGTTTTGTAGAAAGGAATAAAAGGTTTGGACATGTATTAGCGAGATCTCGAGGCTTAGGCAAGTATTTTTCTGGCTATGATAATGAGTTAGCCGTTTTTAACAACACTACTATAAAAGCGTATTTTGGAAGATATCGTAAACCTAATGTCAAAATCTATAAATTCACAACACAAAAAGAATGAAGTCCCGGCTGTTAATTTTGAAAAGAAACAAGAACAAAAAATAAGTCTTATAGGACACGGCCTATCATTTTTTTTTTAAAAAACAAAAACAATAATCAATCATCCCTTTTTGCTAGAGAAAACAGAAAAGAATCAGATTAAATTCCATTATTGAAGGAACCAGACCTGTTTTTTCTAGTGTTTTTCCGGAGCTCTTCAATCCATTCCTATTATCGTGTATTTGATTTCAAAAATCTTTTTGTTACTTATTCATATTTTGCCATTTAAAAAAAAATTAGGTAAAATCGTTGGCGGATTTATATAAGGATGACGATATTTTCGTGGCTTGCGGACCCGAAAAATATTCCCGCGATGATTTCGACATCGAACAAACAGGTCAGATTATATATTGACTCTTTAAGGAAATAATATATTTATTTGGGCTAACAGGGTATGATATTACTGTTGGGCATGTATGTTTAAATAATTAGGGTAATTGCCTAATCTACACGCGCGAGAAAAATACCGGGGTTGAGTTGATTGTTTTAGGGCTAAAATCTAGGTATAAGCCAGCCAGAAATCTTGTAAAACAATGTATCGTGACTCCAATAAGTTATTCGTATTGGTAAACTTCGAACCGAACAATTTCTTATATCGAATAACGAATAGCTATTATGTCTCTAATTATTCGTTATTCATATTGTTCGAATAACGAATACACTCATAATATTCAAAAAGCTCTCAATACTGTTTCGAAGCCATATAAATAATTAAACGAAAAAAAATAACAGAGTATTTAAAGCTGTGTCCCAAAACATCAAAAAAAAAAATTCACAAAACTTTCGAAAATTTAATGAAAAATAAATAAATAAGCTATTTTAAATATAAAAATAAAAAACATGTCCAAAGCATAATTCCCGAAAATTTTATAAATTTCAAAATTTTAACATACGATTTCATTAAAGTTTTAAAATTTGCGAAGGTTTTGAACCCCGCCTAAATTAAAAAAATGTATTTAAAGCTGTGTCTAAAAAATATCAAAAAAAAATTAAATTTACAAAACTTTCGAAAATTTTATGAAAAATAAATAAATAAGCTATTTTAAATATAAAATTAAAAAACATGTCCAAAACATTAAATCTGGAAAATTTTTATAAATTTAAAAATTTGCGAATTTTTCAAAATTTTTCGATTTTTTTTAAAGAAAAAAATGGTTTTTGAACACCGCATAAATTTTTTTAAAAAAAATTTTCTTTTCATATAAAGAAATAATTCTTTTGTATATATCGATTTTATAAAATTTTTATCACCGACGAAAGCTATTGGAATGTTCAAAATAGTTTGTAAATTTACTTAAGTTGAAATACAATAAAATAAAGATTAAAGATCAGACCTGTCCAACATGAGCGCTATTTGGGTGTAGCACTAAACCCTAACTAAAATACGAATCGAATAATTGCATTATTCATATTGGATTAGTCTAAAAAACCCCCGAAAAATTTTTAAAAAAATGTTCCACTAGGAAAACGTGCTTGATATTTAAAAATAATCTATTTGAAATCAAATCGAATAGTTTTAGGTATACTCTCAAACATAATTTTGCTCGAATTTAGACAGGCAGGTTTATTTTCTATATTAAGTGTCAATCACATTAAACTCGAATGTTGCTCTGGGACAAACTAAAAAAAATTTCTAAAATTAGGGAGTAATTCTTTAGAGCAGATTTTTGCTGTAATATTTTTTTATTTTTTGGTTATTTTCAAGTTAGTGTTGAAGATTTTAGCCAATAACATGACATTTCGCAAACCTGGAGATTTTGCTCGTAAGATGGCAGAAAGTTCTTGGGACATCTATTAGCGCCATCTCGAGGCTTACGTAATTTTATTTCGGCTAAAATTTAGTGTTGTTTAATTACCTAACATGTAGTCAACTATAAAAGAACGTAGCCTTATGTATTTATCCAAAAAAAATATTCGAATAAATCTTCAAGTTGAGACTCAACTTAAGAGGTTTAATTCAATTTTTTAGGCTAAAAGCTTGACACTAAACCACAATAGAGATTGTCAAAGTTAGTTAAAATTAACAACACTAGCTAAAATCTCAATTTTAAAATTTGGCTAAATCGTGTCATTGAACAAAACACTAATCTCAAGTATATTTTTTTTTAAAATAAAAGATTCTTTCTCGCATATAAACATTTTTATTGTTTCATTTTTACAAATACTCCCCGAAAAATAAAAGCCGAATTCAAAATCGCTATCAATAATAACAAGGAGAATCTCAATTCTCCCATTTACGCGGTAACCGGAAATGGGAGCGAATCTCGCGAGTCGCGCACCTCGGCGCCTTCATCTTCTAATAGCAGTGACGGTACACGCATACATGATTTTTAAAATAAATCGATCTGCCCAGGTGGCGTTAATGTGAATGAAAATGGGCATAGATTTGCCTAATTCTAAGCTCAAAAAAAAATATTGGAAAATTTTGACCCCCTTTTCCCTACGTTTAAAAATATTTTACAATTTCCTAGAACAAAATTTTTTAAGGTCGGGTTTTTCGCGACGCCCCACGCCGACGCCTAGTTCAGATAAAGTAAACTCATTAAAATAATACTTTTATTTTTTTTACTAAAAAAAAAGGAATTTTAACTCCCGAACTTTCCAGCAAACTCAATAATAACTCTTCCAAAGCCGCCAATCAACGAAAATCTCTCGGCGCCAAACCGTCTAATAATAATAAAGTGATGAAAATACTTGTAAGATTCTTATTATTATATGTATTTAAATCAATCATCGCTACTTCCCTTCCCCTCTTAACCAATTATCTGTATTTATTATTTGTGTACCGACCGAACTGAGAGGAGATCGCGTTCTGTAAGATTTTTTAATCGTTACGGAAAGGTTAGGAATGAATGAATAAAAAGAATTAAACTCTAAAAATCTTAAATTTGCTAAACGACACTCAACCATCAATTTTTTTTAAAAAATTTTAGAAAAAATCGGAGCCGTCCAAAAAGATCGGCGCGGATAGCGGCAATAGAAAAGGGAAGATCGTCGCCACAGGTCAAAACAACGATCGCTTGCGAAATACTTGCGATGACCCCGTCGTGCAACAAAATTTAGGTTTTAAAGCAAATTTATATTTTATAAAGTATACCTTTCTTTTGAACGAATATTAAGAAATTTAGGAAAGAAAGAAAAAAAAGAGAGATAGAATAGATTAGATAGATAAGAAAAAAGAAAGAAAGAAAGAAAGAAAGAAATATAATTATAAAAAAGAAATTAATTAAGATGCGCTTTTATGATTTTTCTTTGACGATTTACATGAGATCAAACCTCGCTTCGGGGTTAAAAATATTTGAAATTGTTTGTTGGATATATTACTAACATGGACTAAATATATACCGTTTTTTTTGGACAACCACTCGAATTTGAGGGCATTTTTTGACCGGGTGGGTTTAGACCCACTTTGGAAATCGGTCACTATTAAAGTGTGTGTTGACAAAATTCCCGGCAAAAAAAAGAGTCAGAAATTAAACTTCAGATTTATTAATATAATCAACAAAAAAATAATTTATTTTATAAGGTGTTCATGATGCCCCGGCTACCTATCCCAAGTTCATCTCCAAAAAATACGCTGTGTTCGAAATAATCGGCGATGGAAATTTCGCAATAGTCAAAGAATGCCAAAATAAGTTATTATTAGAAATCTATTTTCTTCACTCTCATTACATTATTTCGGGATGTGTCGATATTAAGTATCGGATTTGAGCCTATATTTACCATTCTTTTTTTTAATTAAATCGGACCCTATATTTTTAGAAAACTCTTTTTTTACTGTTTTTTATGATGTTTTTTTGCGGAAAAAGAGGGTTTTTTTTAAAAAATATATATCGAGGCAATTGGCCATAAACATTGTTCATATTTTAAATGAGATGATTACTTTTTGGGGAAAAGGTTCATTAACCGAATATTTTCTTGTCCACGAGAAACGTAAAATTTGGATACGTTTCCTGTTTTATGCAAAGTTTTGTTATTTTTTTTTTGCGTAGAAACTATTTATTTTTCTTTTGTGACATAGGTTCAAGGATAGATGGAAAATAAAAATTTAATCTAATTATCGGTTTTATACGGGTCGTATAGGTAAAAAATTTGATTGGCATAGTGTTTTGTACATCATATTTTCTATCTAATCTTAGGGAAGGAACTATCCCTCCTTTTCAGAAAATTGCCACTTGCCACGTTATATAGCGCACTGCAATTTAAGGAGTAAAATTTTGTAACGACGACTTAATTAGCGCCAAAATATTTCTTTTTTTTTCATTCCTCCCTATAAAATCAAAATTTAAAAAAAAATAACAAATTCGACAGAAAAACTGGTCAATACTACGCTCTCAAGATAATTGATAAAGCCAAATGCAATTCGGAAATCGAGGTTTGAATAATAATAATATATATATAGAAAGAAAGGCAGGAAGGAAGGAAGGAAGGAAGGAAGGAAGGAAGAAAGAAAAAAAGAAAGTAAGAAGAAAAAATAGATTTATACATTTTAAGTTCTGTCTATCACACAAAATATGGATCTATGATCTTCAACCTTTTCTTTTTTTGGGGTTCAGATGTCTTATGTATTGTTTGCAGTGGTCCAGTCAGACCGACTATCCCGTCCAGTTAGGTCTCATATGAATATTAGGTCCGACGGGACGGTCCGGTCCGACCTAAGTCCGATTAAAAATGATAAAAAATACTATGAATTGTTTTTTAGTTAATAGACTCTTATATGAACAAAAGTAGCTTTTGATATGTTTGTGGTGATATGTTATATCTTGTGTCCCCTGATTTTTTAAATAAAAATCATATTATCCATCAAATCGACTGGCCATTATTTTTATACGAATCTAATCTTCAAATTTCGTTCCTTAAAAGTGTCATATATATAGCAGATATGCGCCGGTATTAGCTTATACCATTTTAGCATCGTAATCTCATCTCTGACTGTGATATCTGTTTCCAAAAAAAATATATAATTCATTATTCAAATGTTACCAGAAAATTAAAACTTTCATAAGGATCGGAAATATTATTTACAAATATAAGATTTTCAGAAACCCTAAAAAATTTTTTGAAAGGAAAAGGCGGGAAAACGTTGAAATCGTAGTTTTACCATTGTTATAAAATGCAACCTCGATTATTTTTTGTTATAGAGACAGATGATAGCCAACGAAGTTGCTATACTTAGAAGAATTTCGCACCCCAATATCGTTCAATTGTACGAGGAATACGAAACTAATTCTAGGTTGTATCTGGTCATGGAACTCGTTAAGGTATGCATTATTATATTTTTTCCCCAATTTTTCTTCTCATAACTTATTCATCTTCTCCCTTTAATGACAGTTTACAAAGGATAGGCTAGATTCCCAACTGATCCCCCCTTCTCCGTTTTTTTTATGGGTCATGGTTATCGCCATTTTTGTGAGATCTATTTTTTTAATCATATTATCTGTTATCACTTTACCAACGATAAAAATATATAGAACGGCAGGTGATTCAGTAATATATATACATTATATATATATAGATATTACTACTGGCTATATACCATAACGCCAAAGGTTTACGGGAAAAAAATTATTTAAAATTCATTTTGCTTCTGTAACCTCTATAACAACTACAATCCTCTCATAATTTTTCCAAATCCGTATTCATTAGTAGCATCAGATCCAGCCAGTTCTCCCAATTTCCGTTGGATAAGGGGGCCCGTTGAGAAGTTTTCGGTATTATGAAAAGAGGTGGAGGCGGGAAAACAATGATCGAATAGGTGTTTATAACTGTTTCGCGATCAAAGTCGGTCATAGAGGAAGGGGAATCATGTCTGGACATGCGGCGCCAGAAAAAGAGGACGCGTAGGGGACTGTGACAACGGTCGTATAAGAAGCCAGGGTGTGGGTTATCATTGATTTTGCGGTGAAGGAATGAAGTGGCCAACCAACCACTTCGGGTATAATACACGGGAAAGTCCAACGCCCTCAAGTTTGGGGTTGTAGGTGCTGGGGAATAAGTAGTGGGAAACGATTCGCAAGAGACGGTAGACGCAGAGATTTTCGAAGAGGAATTGGGAGATTGGCTAGATCTGATATGAAGGATTTATGGGAGGAAAATTAATTCGGGTTTTTATTATGCAAAACGTTTTATTTTAGGACCAGTTAAAATATTAATATAATATTTTAATAAACCACCCCCCCCCCCCACAAGTTCCCCATTTATAATACTATTAATAATGAAAAAAAAAAACTATCAATTTAAAGGGCGGAGACTTGTTTGACTTAATAGCCCGGGAAACGAAATTCGGGGAATTTCGTTCTAGTCAAATGATATATGATCTGACGAACGCCTTGCGCTATTTGCATTATTCGATGAACGTGGTTCATAGAGACATCAAGCCCGAAAATTTATTGGTTTCTAATTATTATTTTTTTGCCGAGATCTTATTGTATTTAATAGTTTTATCTACTATTATTTAAATCTCTTTTTTTCATCATTAGCTTTGAAGAAGAGGAATAATATCATTGATTCTTCTTATATATCCTATTAAGATATTTTATTTTTAAAAAATCGTTGTTCAATTGACTAAACAATTTTATCGAGTCTTTCTACCTCAAACATTTTTGACGCATAAATTTAGCTCTTTAACTTTATTTTATCGTACAATAAACATAAACTCTTAAATTGGACATTTAGGTCTCGGAGTATAACGACGGGACCAAAGTCTTAAAATTGGCCGATTTCGGTTTAGCCTCTCATGTCAGCGAACCCTTATATACTGTTTGCGGTACGCCAGCGTACGTTGCCCCCGAAATTTTAGCCGAAACTGGGTTGGATTGTTGCCATAAATATTTTTAAATTAAATTTCTTCTTCCTTTATATATATAATACTTTCTTTCTTTTCTTTCTTTCTTCTTATATATATATATAAACAAACTATTCAAAATTCTATTTTATAAATAAGTTCGCAGCTTATTCTAATATAAATGTTTGATTTGCATCGTTTTTTTTTAAAAAGAACAGAGAAGTTATCCTCAAAAATAAAATGGAGGTCTTAAAATTGTTTGCTCCTTAACCTTTAGCGATCCTCTTTCTTTTAAAAAAAAAATTTTTCAACCCGTTTGTCATCTATATAACATGGATTAATGAAATAGAAAACTTTAAGCGACAAATTACTAAAAAAATTTTAATCATCCAAAATAACGAAATTTATTGGAGCCAGAACGGGATCAGTTCTTTCCGACTTGAATCAACTCGGATCGATTTTCTCTCGTTCCAATCGAAAGGGTATAATCGGAAAAAATATTTAGATTTAACCGGACTAGAAAAAAAAATAGGCATGGTGCAGGGCTCTGCTTATTTATCCTTAGTATTGATCTTTGAAAAAATGCAATTTTTAAAAGAGGCATTGATTGCTTGTTCACTTTTTTTACCATTAATTATTGAACTAATTGTATATTAATCTAGATGGGCCATTTATTCATTGTAATCAGCTGTAGACGTCATTCTATAGTCTACTTGCAAACTAAATGACATTTTAACGTTTAATAAAATATTTTTTTTGAAACATTTTTGAAAATTCTAAAATAAAAATAATATCAAGATAATATTTTATTGTCATTTAGTCAACGCGAAGATTACAAAATGGCGCCCGCAGATGACTCCTATACAACATTTTAACATATGACGGGTCTGATTAATATATTTAATATAATTGGTGTAACCCCTACTTCCTACGCTGATTTTTTTTGGTGAAATAATGTAATAAGATATAGATACACTTGTCTAACTAATAACTTAGGAGTGCATCTTTATACATTGCTTACCAAAAGTAAAGTTTTAAACAACCTTGGTCAACATATGGTTTAAAAATCAAATTTTACCGTTTTCCCGTCCTTTCCCAAATTTGTAATATAACCTTTTTTTATTTCATATAAATTTTATATTAGTTACGGTATCAAGATTGACATATGGGCGACAGGCGTAATTATGTATATATTATTGTGCGGATTTCCTCCTTTCGATAAGTTTGTTTTAAATCTTTTCCTTTTTTTTCCAAACGCCATTTTTTATGAAAAAAAACTCTTACCTCTGGTTAGCTTTAATCTATTTCTGATACATCTATCCAACAAACTATTTAGGTACATTTCATAAAAAAATAGATTAAAGTTAACCAGGAGGTAAAAATTTTAGAAAACAAAACGAATGGTTTAGACATATCATAGTGCGCACAAATTGAGTGTTTCAAACGCCGCGTTGCAAGCGCAAATAATGCATTTCAAATGGCCTCGTGCAAATTGGTAAAATTTACCGTTTGGCGTTAGCAACCATTTTAAAAAACGCAAATAGGTTTACTTTTTCGTTACTTTTTCTATTCTTCGCTTTGTAATTTTGTATAGTAAAATGTAATATAAATAACTTACTTGTATCCTAAAAAAGGAATGATTTTAGAAATTAAAGAAATAGGAAGGCAGACGATAATATAATTTTCAAACCTTTTTTTTTTAAAAAAATATTATTTAAAATTTTGAATCGACGATATTGATAAAAAGGCAATTTCAATTTAAACAAGGGACGCTCGTTTTTTTTAATTAAAAAATTTCGGCTAAACGTAAACGCTCAATTTGTGTGTACCATTAAGCGATTTATGTAATCATTCTCTAACTTTTTTTTACTTCAAATTTTGTAACCCATTCATCACGAAGCGCTAAGGACAATCAAGACGAATTGTTTGATCTTATATTGGCCGCCGATGTGGAGTTTCCTAAGCCCTTTTGGACCAATATCTCCGAATGTGCTAAGGTATTGTACTAATATTATAGTAAATTTGTTGCCTCAATTTTAAGTTTATTATCGTGCGCCTACGCAGAGTTGCGATATTTTTTTTTATAAGCCTAGCCCCGGATTTACAAGTTTAGCTCAACCTGCCCCATTTTTTAAAAAAATGTCAGTCATTTTATAGCCTAACCCTTATATTTTTTTTTCCAAATAAAAAAAAACATGTTAAATTATTTGGGCTCCGTTTTTAAAAACTTTGAGCAGTAAATGAAATGCTAAATAGTCCATTATAAAGCTCATTTTTTTCAACTAAGTGTTAAAATTCCCGCCTTAGATTTCTTAGGAGGATCGGCTAAAAAAAAGCCCGGTTATTTAGTTTTGGTCTGATCCGGGTTCCGCCAAGTTTCTAGGTCTGATTCGATTCATATAAATATTTAGACGAAAAGCATCACCTGCTATGAGACTTTTTTCCTCCATTTTCGCAAAAATTTGGTTCTTTTTTTTGTCACACCATTATTTTGAAATTCTTCTATCGAATGCGTCACATACGTTCAAATTAGTTCTAAAAAAATTTCCACCAGCTTTATTTAGCCCTTAATCAATCATGTTGGGATTCGAGAAGGCACGGTTTAGCATCTGATCGAATTTTTCAGAATCTTTTAATGAGATATCAATTTTTCTTTATTAATATTAATTTTATCTTTAAAATTAAGAATTATAATAGAGAATTATAAATGTTAATAAAGAAAAATTGATTTCATTATAAGATTTAAAATAGATCAGCTGTTAAATAGTGTCTGATCGTATCCCACTATAATTTCTTAGCTTATTCCGCATCTGCCGACATTGCCCGTCCATAATCGATGCGTGCGTAGGTTAGCAATCGGTACATTACCTAAATTTTCTCTTAAATCCAGCCATCGTTTTTTGTAACCTTTAAACTCGTTTGTCATCCATTCTAATCATTCTAGGGGAAAAATACATTCATTTCATTTATTGTTTTTTAAGCGTTGCAGATTTATAAATTACGACCTTTTATTATTTTCATTAAGACCGTCAATCATGTTTTTATATATTGTTTTGTAAAAATATATGCTTTTATTCTTCATAGTTTTTAAATGTACATTTTAATTGTACTACATATTTTTTTTTATACAAACTTGTTTATTAAGGATTTAATTATGAACATGTTGCAAGTTGATCCTAATCAAAGGTTTTCTGCCTTAGACGTTTTAACGCACCCATGGATAACAGTTTATTTTAAAATATTTTATTTACATTCTTAAATACTAAGTATATATTTAACATCCTTAAAAGAACCTTTTTAAATAATAATAATAATTTTGTAACAAAATTTAACTAGAGTCAAACACCTAATAAATATTTGCTTTACGCTCCGGAAGAAGTGGAGTACTGCAGCAGACTAAAGGCTACGGAAAATACTGCTTTCAACGGTCATCAAAGGGCTTCTTTAAGCCCCAAACATTTGTACGGCTGCAACGGCGACAAAAATACTTTCTTCCAAAATAATTTCAATCGTTACGACAACCACAACACCTATCATTGCAAAACCCAGTCGCGATAGTGGATTTAGATATGAATATATGAATAGCTCACATATTTTTTGTGTATGTGACGGAGGTGGGGGGGGGGGGGGTGTAATTTTAAAAAAACTTAGCGTAACTTTATCCTTGTCATCGTTCAGCCATCATTTTTTTTTGTTCATTGAATCATAATTATTACTACATTTATATTCTGGATATCTAAGCCTAAGATTATAATTTTTTCAATATCATACAACTTTTAAAACTTGCATTTTTTTATTTTAAACGACAATGATGTTAAATAAATTTTTTTTTAATTAGTGGAGTTAGAAAGTATACATCGTACATAATTAGTCAAGTTTAATTATAATCACGCATTTCATTAAAATGGACCAAGAAGCCCCAGCCCAACTGTTTTATATTAATTAATTATTAATATAATTAATTGTTTTTTTATTGGCAATATTTTGTTTACCTACTTTTTATTGCATATTATATACTTTCTATATTTTAAAAAAAATTGAAATCATGAATTATATACCTTTAATAAAAAATTATATATATATATATACCCGCATCGCTTATTTAATTTCGTAATTAATATTTCTAATCAACTGTCATTTATTTTATCGTTTTTTTTCCTTCAAATGATATGATTTATTTAGGCAAGAATTTAATTACGAATGTTTATAATAAAAAAATTTTTTTTATATATGATCATAAAAGTGAAATTTTAATTTGTTTTTATTGTCTTTAAGACATTAAAATTAATTAGTGAAATAATATTATTCATTATACATCATTTTGTAATGTATAAAACTCATTAAAATGCTAATTTTGGGGTGACATTTATTTATTAAAGCAATCTAAATCTAGTTAATCGCTCAATTAATTTTTTTACCGCAAGACATTCAGCGAAAATTACAATTAAACCTTATTTTTTAAATAAAAATAGAGCCAGAAATAAATGATCTTTCCTCTTACATTAATAAAACTGCTATTACCTGATGAATTATTAAACATTTACTTTAAATAATATAATCTTAATTTAAAGATCCTATATTAAAAAAAAGGTTAAGTGCTTTAAGGTAAGGCCACCCACCCAGCCGAAAAGAAGATTTTAGCTTTAGGTATTAGATTATATTTCATTTCTCTTCAAATATATGTGCATGTGAGTTAAATCCAATTGAACTGATTATTTCCTATTTGTCTTTTATTCTTTTGAGCCAAGCCTCTCTGCAAGAATTTATTTTTGTTAAAAAATTTACACACCTCCGAATAAAACATCCAGCGTTTATATGACAGGATTTTCACTGAATGCAAACCCCCCTCAAAAACCTATACCTGTCCCTCTTAAAAAATTTATTATTTTAGCTCTACTACCAACTTTCAACATATTGTGAATATAAAAGAGTTATTTTATAGATCAAGAATTCAATTACAAACCCCCAAATTGTTTATTCACTACCCAGCAGATTCATGTAAGTAAATAGCCACTAGCAGAGTTTGACCGATGTAAAACACTCATTTTTAAACTCACAACATTTTAAACAAGATATATGAAATTTATTTGCACTTTTTTTAAAGCAGGTTCCGGAAAGATATCTGGAATTTTTTAAAATGGATTCTAGTTTATATAAATTTTAAATTAACGCTGGAAATTGACTGTTAAATTTAGAATGCGTGAAAATAATCAAATTAAAATGACTGCGGTTAATATAACTGCTAAAAATATTCATTACTCGCTTCAAAATAATTAGGAGCCTTTTTATTTATATAAGAAAATTAATGTTTAAACATTGTTTTCATTAATCATTCATAAATATATAATAAACGAAATGTATATCGAAATTATATAGAATATAGTAAATAATTTTATATATATACACAAAAAAAATATATAATATTTTCAAATGCCATCTGATATTGTCATCAATGCTCCTTCACTTGGATGCTATACATAGAGCCCTCTAGTCAGACGTCCCAAAGCTAGTGTGGCCTTTTGATAAATAATATCAAATGTATCAATAATAAAATAATACTGACTATGTGTGTAAATTTAGAGAAACCGATTATAATAACACAATTGCATCGTACGCATTACTATTTGAAGGCCCAAAAATGGAGAATCACAAATGATATAGATTTTCCATCTAATAATTTTCGTACCCTTTTTATTTTATTTAGCGGAAACGAAACTTTCAATTATAAACTTCAATTATTTATATCGAAAGTCAATACACAGAACATTTGAATATTTTTGGAAATTTATTTCTAAAATTGTTGTATATTGGATTTGTTAAAAAAAGATCTTTGGCTTTAGTTCATGGTATGAACGTAATATTATGTTCCTAGTTTAATAAAAAAAAATGATAAATTTAAAGGTTATAAAATTAAGTTTCTAATTACAAACCTATCATTATATTCATCGATTTAAAACAGCTTTCATAATAATATAACTAAAATAAGTATTATATTATGTAAGCCTAAAAATTTTTAATATGGAGAAGGGATTGGACATCTATTTGCCAAATCTCTTGGCTTACATATAAGATTTTGGCTAAAATCTTAATCGGGCTTTTTAACAACATTACATCATATGTTTCATTTTCGTGATTACTCTTTCGATGCTGCTTCTTTATACGCAATACGCATTTTAACACCTTAAAATTTTTTACTACGCTATAAAGGATGGATAATAATTGCACATAAAATGGATTCACTTAAAGCAAATAGCCTGATTCCAAGAATCAATAATTCATCCATTCCAAATATTCTAGCTAATAATATAATTCATACCAATATTCCACATACAGTAAATAATAGAAATGATGAAAAAATTGCTGGATCATATAAAATTGAGAAAACCATTGGAAAAGGAAATTACGCTGTTGTAAAATTAGCTAGTCATGTTTTTACTGGACAAAAAGTTGCAATTAAAATCATTGATAAATCTAAACTTGATATTGTAAGTAAAATTCAATTATTCCAGGAAGTGAATTGTATGAAATTGATTAGACACCCAAATGTGGTTAAATTATATGAAGTTATTGACACTCCAAACAAATTATATCTTATATTAGAATTAGGAGAAGGAGGTGATCTTTTTGATTACATTCTAAAATATGATAAAGGTATAGAAGAAAATAAAGCCAAAACATATTTTCGCCAATTACTTAATGCCATTTTATATTGCCACAAATTGCATGTTGTTCATAGAGATTTAAAACCTGAAAATGTTATATTCTTTGAAAATTATGATACAGTAAAGTTAACGGATTTTGGCTTCAGCAACAAATTTAAGCCTGGGGAAAAACTTGAAACATCATGTGGCTCATTAGCATATTCAGCTCCAGAAATTCTTTTAGGAGACCAATATGATGCCCAAGCAATAGGTTTGATCTTTTAAATATTCATACGTAATAAAAATCTTTTTAAAACATTAAGTAGGGATGCACCAATCCACAAATTTCTTATATTACTAAAAAAAACTGCTATAATACCAATCTGATATTAATATTGATTTTTTTAAAAGTAAACTATCTTATACAAATGATTAAGTGTGTTTATTATTTTTTATTCTCCAAAAGTTAATAATTTTATTTAAAATATTTGTAATGTTTATGGTATAATGTAATGTTAAATAGCTCTATTTAGCCAATTTTTTAAAAGAGAATTGACCTTTTTTATAATATTGGCTAAATCTAAGTGTTTAGTAACTTTAACTGAATATGACTAATTAGATATTTTTTAATCATTTTCTTGTTGCAAATAATATAACAAAAAATCATATTAAATTTCATTTTTTGAAACATTTTATGAAATATATAAAATAAAAATATCAGATCGGTTTTTTTTAATCGCCTGGTCCAATATTTTTTAAAAATTCTAAATATTTATGCCAATCACAATGATATTAAAAAGTGTTTGATAAGTTTATTTTTATATATTTAATTTTAAGATATGTTGGGATAACAATTAAAAAAAAATTATTTCCAAGGAAATGTATTCCATCATCTATGAATCTCAGATATATTTTTCTCATGAATTTTTGTGTATTTTTCGGGAATGACTAAAATACGCGTCCCCAAAAACTACGCGTCCCTACGCGTCCCCGGTCAAAACGATTTATTTTTATTAATATTAATAGGAAATCTTATTAAGCTTTATAAGATGAGTTAGAAAATGTTTTTTTTAATTTAAAAAAAATACGGTAACTATATAAAATTTACAAAAATTTATTTTTTTAAAAAATAAACTACGCGTCCTTACGCGTCCCTACGCGTCCCCGGTCAAAATACAGTTTTTTTTAAAAAATCAAAACGGATTCATATTTAGCTTATTAAAAGAATACAGAATATGTAAATATTATATTTTAAACTATTTTATAACTTAGTGATTTTTTCAAAAAACACTTTTTTTTTCAAAAACACTACGCGTCCCCGGTCAAAAAACCGTTTTTTTAAAAAATAAAAGCAGATTCATGTTTAGCTTTTTAAGGAGATTCAGAAAATGGTATTAATAAAAAAAAAATTTAAAAAGAAATTTTTTCCAAAAAAATTTTTTTTGGCTAAACTACGCGTCCCTACGCGTCCCCGGTCAAAATACACTTTTTTTAAAAAAATCAAAACGGATTCATATTTAGCTCATTAAAAGAATACAGAATATGTAAATATTATATATTAAACTATTTTATAACTTAGTGATTTTTTCAAAAAACACTTTTTTTTCAAAAACACTACGCGTCCCCGGTCAAAAAACCGTTTTTTTAAAAAAATAAAAGCAGATTCATGTTTAGCTTTTTAAGGAGATTCAGAAAATGGTATTAATAAAAAAAAATTTAAAAAGAAATTTTTTCCAAAAAAATTTTTTTTTGGCTAAACTACGCGTCCCTACGCGTCCCCGGTCAAAATACAGTTTTTTTAAAAAAATCAAAACGGATTCATATTTAGCTCATTAAAAGAATACAGAATATGTAAATATTATATATTAAACTATTTTATAACTTAGTGATTTTTTCAAAAAACACTTTTTTTTCAAAAACACTACGCGTCCCCGGTCAAAAAACCGTTTTTTTTTAAAAATAAAAGCAGATTCATGTTTAGCTTTTTAAGGAGATTCAGAAAATGGTATTAATAAAAAAAAATTTAAAAAGAAATTTTTCCCAAAAAAATTTTTTTGGCTAAACTACGCGTCCCTACGCGTCCCCGGTCAAAATACACTTTTTTTAAAAAAATCAAAACGGATTCATATTTAGCTCATTAAAAGAATACAGAATATGTAAATATTTTATTTTAAACTATTTTATAACTTAGTGATTTTTTCAAAAAACACTTTTTTTTCAAAAACACTTTTTTTTTCAAAAACACTACGCGTCCCCGGTCAAAAAACCGTTTTTTTTTAAAAATAAAAGCAGATTCATGTTTATTAAGAAATAAAATTTTGATGAAATTTTCAAAAAATTTTTACATGACAAAATTTTAATTTTTATTAAAATATATAATCATTTATATCTAAATTAAATTTTATAGTTAATTTTAAACACTCTTCTATAATTTGGAAAAGTTCAATGTGTATTTATTATATCTAGATAATATTTCAATCATAATTTGTCAATAATAAAATACCATTTATATTACATATTATTATATACAATCGTAATAGGTAAAAAAATGTAAATATTCGTTTGTTGTAAAATAATGTGGGTGTTTCAATCACGGTAGTCTTTATAGAATGTTGTTTCCGACGTATCACGATTTAGTTTTCCAATTTCAATCATTGACCAAACTATAATATGATGTTGTTTTCATCTTCGATATCTATTTATAGTTTATATAATAATATAATATATTTATTTTTATATGCCTTTTTGCCTTCAATAATTATAGTCAAAAATTTCAAATTATAGGACTTTAAATAATTGGTAATATTTAAACTTAAAAATAACTATTTATATTGTTATTACAAAAAAATAATTGGATGCATTGTTCTAACTGTACAAACTTTCTCTAATAATAGCTAAACAATATTACATTATTTATACTATATTAATATATTTTATAGTTATAATATTTTATGGTTTTAGCCATAAAAATATGAAAATTATTAATTTTTTTTGACCGGGGACGCGTAGTGTTTTTGAAAAAAAAAAGTGTTTTTTGAAAAAATCACTAAGTTATAAAATAGTTTAATATATAATATTTACATATTCTGTATTCTTTTAATGAGCTAAATATGAATCCGTTTTGATTTTTTTAAAAAAACTGTATTTTGACCGGGGACGCGTAGGGACGCGTAGTTTAGCCAAAAAAAAATTTTTTTGGAAAAAATTTCTTTTTAAATTTTTTTTTATTAATACCATTTTCTGAATCTCCTTAAAAAGCTAAACATGAATCTGCTTTTATTTTTTAAAAAAAAACGGTTTTTTGACCGGGGACGCGTAGTGTTTTTGAAAAAAAAGTGTTTTTTGAAAAAATCACTAAGTTATAAAATAGTTTAATATATAATATTTACATATTCTGTATTCTTTTAATGAGCTAAATATGAAACCGTTTTGATTTTTTTAAAAAAACTGTATTTTGACCGGGGACGCGTAGGGACGCGTAGTTTAGCCAAAAAAAATTTTTTTTGGAAAAAAATTTCTTTTTAAAATTTTTTATTAATACCATTTTCTGAATCTCCTTAAAAAGCTAAACATGAATCTGCTTTTATTTTTTAAAAAAAACGGTTTTTTGACCGGGGACGCGTAGTGTTTTTGAAAAAAAAGTGTTTTTTGAAAAAATCACTAAGTTATAAAATAGTTTAAAATAAAATATTTACATATTCTGTATTCTTTTAATGAGCTAAATATGAATCCGTTTTGATTTTTTTAAAAAAAGTGTATTTTGACCGGGGACGCGTAGGGACGCGTAGTTTAGCCAAAAAAAAATTTTTTTGGGAAAAATTTCTTTTTAAATTTTTTTTTATTAATACCATTTTCTGAATCTCCTTAAAAAGCTAAACATGAATCTGCTTTTATTTTTAAAAAAAAACGGTTTTTTGACCGGGGACGCGTAGTGTTTTTGAAAAAAAAAGTGTTTTTTGAAAAAATCACTAAGTTATAAAATAGTTTAATATATAATATTTACATATTCTGTATTCTTTTAATGAGCTAAATATGAATCCGTTTTGATTTTTTTAAAAAAACTGTATTTTGACCGGGGACGCGTAGGGACGCGTAGTTTAGCCAAAAAAAAATTTTTTGGAAAAAATTTCTTTTTAAATTTTTTTTTATTAATACTATTTTCTGAATCTCCTTAAAAAGCTAAACATGAATCTGCTTTTATTTTTTTAAAAAAACGGTTTTTTGACCGGGGACGCGTAGTGTTTTTGAAAAAAAAAGTGTTTTTTGAAAAAATCACTAAGTTATAAAATAGTTTAATATATAATATTTACATATTCTGTATTCTTTTAATGAGCTAAATATGAATCCGTTTTGATTTTTTTAAAAAAAGTGTATTTTGACCGGGGACGCGTAGGGACGCGTAGTTTAGCCAAAAAAAAATTTTTTTGGAAAAAATTTCTTTTTAAATTTTTTTTATTAATACCATTTTCTGAATCTCCTTAAAAAGCTAAACATGAATCTGCTTTTATTTTTTTAAAAAAACGGTTTTTTGACCGGGGACGCGTAGTGTTTTTGAAAAAAAAAGTGTTTTTTGAAAAAATCACTAAGTTATAAAATAGTTTAAAATATAATATTTACATATTCTGTATTCTTTTAATAAGCTAAATATGAATCCGTTTTGATTTTTTAAAAAAAACTGTATTTTGACCGGGGACGCGTAAGGACGCGTAGTTTATTTTTTAAAAAAATAAATTTTTGTAAATTTTATATAGTTACCGTATTTTTTTTAAATTAAAAAAAACATTTTCTAACTCATCTTATAAAGCTTAATAAGATTTCCTATTAATATTAATAAAAATAAATCGTTTTGACCGGGGACGCGTAGGGACGCGTAGGGACGCGTAGTTTTTGGGGACGCGTATTTTAGTCATTCCCTATTTTTCTATTTATACATAAAATCAAAAAAATTAAGAGTTAGATATTAGGTGTGTGTCAAATCAGAACTTTAAAATTGCTCTCAATAAAAGGTTTTATTTGAGTGATTTTGAATCTCTAAGATTCCATATACAAATATGACATGCATACTCTCTAATTTATAAAAGTAATGACTTAAAAATATTTTATTTATTTATTTAATTCTATAATAATTTGTAATATAATATGGGTAAACGTGAACATGTGTAATTATACCATTATATAAAAAATTGAGAGTTTACCTTTAAATAGATTAATTTAAATTTTAATACTTTTTTTGGCTATGGCTAGCTTGCAAGTTTTTTCTAGGCTCATTTA